ATTTTGATTATTTTGTTCTTCAATATAATTGATACAATCCTTCTTCTTAATTCTTAATTCTTGATTGTAGGTTTTGGATCTTCCTCTTCAAAATATTTTTTCTTGTATTCTTGTATTGATGTGAGGACACAAAGAATGAGAAGTTACATGAGTTGTGCTACAGGTACAAAATGGTGTACAAAGGGGTGTCCAAAATGGCTACTTGGCCACCCCCTATTGGAGGGTCAGTTGTGCCCATCTGGCCCCACAGCCGACCCTCCAATAGGGGGTGGCCATTTTGGACACCCATTTGTACATCATTTTGTACAAGAGGCATTATCCAAGTTACATATGAATTGGGGGATCATCTCTTTGGGCTTAGCTTTTACTGGACAAATATTGTAGAGGGACACATTCGTCACTTGCAACATTCCTCACTCAGCCTCTCCTATTTGGAAGAGACTAAAGAAATTTGAACCATGAGCCGAGCCACACATTGCGTGGCACCTTGGGCTAGGGCAGATCTTCTTTTGTCATGATTGTTGGATGAGTGATTCTATATTGACATCCATTTTCCCAAACAGACAGCACACATCTGCGAGGGTGCAGAATTTTTACGAGGTATCTGGATGGGATTTTGGTCGATTAATACAGGCACTTCCATCAGCTATGGCAGAGTAGATTGCAGCCATTCCACCATGTCTTGATGTCTCAGATCGCATTTTCTGGAAGGCCACATCAGATGGTAGATTTACTACTAAATCAGCATGACAGCTGTTCCGCTCTAGCAGGCCAGCATGATTCATTTCGCCTACTATGGAGATTATAGTAGGACTTAATACCAGATGTCATTATCCAGAAGAGGATCGACAATCAGTTGGCTTTTCGATGTTAGTGTTGTTTAGAGATTGAGACCATCACTCATATTTTTACTGGTAGCAGTATGTCAGATCATGTTTGGTAACATTTTGGGGCTTTATTTCAGATTACCATGAGTACAGGAGAGAGTGTCAGACAAAGATTTCTGAGATAAAGGTATTCTAGTCAATTTGCAAGGACGGGGTACATTTGTATCATTATTCCTCTATTGATTTTCTGGTTTCTTTAGATTGAGAGGAATAATGCAAAGCACATGACATGTGTATGAGTTCGAGACGTATTATCTGGAGAGTTTACCGTATGGTATCCTTCCTCCATACTGGTAAATTATTCCGACCTTCACTTTGGCGTAATGACATGCAGCTTGTAATATTTTTTGGTATTTCTTTGACTCTTTCCCTATCTCCTCCCTTTATTATGGTTTGGTGGCGCACTCCATCATTTGGATGTGTCAAGATCAACACTAATGGTTGTGTCAAGGATGGGTTTGCGAGTGGGGGAGGCATCATCAGGGACTACGCAGGAAAATGTATCAGGGCTTTCTCAGCTTCATATGAACAATGTATGATATTAGAGGCGAAACTCATGACTATTCGTGATGGGATACTACTGGCTACAGATCTTAGTTTGACATATATTTGGTTAAGGTTGACTCGACTGTTGCCATTCACTGCATCACCAGATGTGGCATGCAATTTGCTACCAAGGGTTGGTATTATCGTAGATACCAGGAATATGGAGAAGCCGACCTACCACGACATATCAAGGCGCTTGTTCAGATTGACGGACATGGTTTGCCCAGCATTAGAGTTTAAATATTTGTATTTTGATTTTGCTTTTACTTTTATTTTTACTTACATTTGTGTTTTTAGTAAGGGAGTAGTACTCATTGTTTACTGCTTTCCTATTATTCTTTGTTTTCTCTGTAAGGGAAGTAGTACTTCCTCATTCATTGATTTTATTGATATCATTTGTAACCACGGTATTCCTCCGCTACAAGTGATGACATATTAATAAAATCTCGAAGGTACAGCCCTCCTTCCACTAAAAAATAAATAAATAAATAAATAAAATTGGGGGATCATAAAACCCTATATATAGTTTCTATATGTATATGACTCATCGTCAAATACAACACTAATGGATCCGGTCTTTACATATATAATTGGGCTCACGCTTTATTTAAATGTCCTAAGTCCAACAATGAAATTCTTTATTAGATCACTTTAACTGAGCTCAACTTTAACTTAACCTTATACATAATTAATTATATATGTAGGCTCATATGACAAATTAATAAACCCAACAACAACCCTTATCAAAAATTTTATCTCCATGTCGAACTTCAAATGTCAAATATTTTGTATTTTCACTTGTATGAACATGATAATGGATGTTAATTATAACTCAAGCGTGCATATAAGTCAGTTTTATGCACAAAGGTGCAATTACAATTATATTAATCAAAATAGAATGATTAATTTAAACTCTACAATCATTTACGCCAAAATAGCATAACCATACATGAAAAATTACTAGAGAGGCCAAATCATCTTTTCAAATCATTCGATAAACGAGATAATAATGTTTATGCTAGATAATGGAAAGATATAAGATTAAATCTGTCAAAGGATAAATCCCACATCGAATTAAGGTTACAACATAGACCAACTTAAAGTTTTGGACACTCTTCTTAACAATGTTGACTTTTTAAGATGGAATCCAAGTCTTAATATGGTATCAGAGTCCATTAAGTTCTAACAAGTAATTTAATTCTAAGACTCCAAAGGCTAGAGTGATATTCAAGCTTCCAGATAACGAAGAGAATGGATGGAATCAAATACAAAGGACGTTTTTTGTAAGTAAACATTGATATGAGAATGAAAACTATAATACATAGCGCACAACTTAAGTAATAATCTATAATCCATGAATAAAGATAAACATATCACTACTATATAAAAGAGCCACTTCCATTTTTACTGTTCATAAGCCGAATGGCCGTATTAGCCGAGCCGAGTGGGCCATTTAACCGATCCATTTGGAAGTGTGCTATTGTTCCAGAACATTCACGCCTACCTTCATTTTTTTTTCACGCAGCCATCACCTCCACTAAAATATTTCTCCATTTTCACGCGCAAAGCATATTTCTCCATTTTCATACGCAACTTCACTTCATCCCACAACCAATGCAATAACTTTTCATTTCTTCTTCTCCATGCCTTCCTTCTTCGCTGTGAGTTTTTCCTTCTTCGTAAAGTCGGAGCTTCCACCAAAAAGACATCGAAATCCAAGCCGAATTTAGACGATGAACTCTCCAAAAAACAGAAAAAGTTGCACAATCCCAAGGTACGTCGAGAAAGATTGTTCATTGTCCCTTTTTTTGTGCTAGTTTCTTCCTCAACTTTTGTTTGTAATAATTTTTTT